TTAAAAAATCCACAGAGAGCCAACAGTGAAAGGAAAAAATATAGGGTTCAAATTAATGATTTGGAACATAAGGAAGAAAGAAACAATCAACCAGAACAGAATGAAGAAACAATAATTTTTTTTTAAATGAGAGAATAAGAAGACACTGAAACATCTCTACAAGTGTCAACATGCAGATCATAGGGGTGCCACAAGGAGAAGAGAAAGAGCAAGAAATTGAAAATTTATTTGAAAGAATAATGAAAGAAACTTCCCGAAGTTGGCAAAGGAAATAGACATACAAGTTCATGGTGGCATTTTAAAAATTTGCCTCGTTTTTAACTACTATGGATTTTCTATACTCATTATTTTTACTGTCTAATATTAGAAAACATTTTATTTCCTAACTAATCAGAAATGCAGAGTGTAAGAGTAAATATTGTACTTTAGTTTTAGCTTTGATTCGAAACTGCTGTATGAAACAGAAAATGGACTCTAATACTTATGGCCTGATTTTCTTACAGGAAATGTTTTATTATTGTTTATATTAATATTATTAGTAAGGATTGATTCTTTTTAGTTCACAGAACATTGTCATATGTCATGGAAGAGAAGAATTAGCCTTATTATGAAAATTATATATTACTGTCAAGTTTCTTACATGTGAATTTATTAATTATACAAAAAGGACTTAGAAACTTAGAAATGCATTTTAAGCTCCACCCAGCACAACTTCTACTTACCATTTGAACTGACTATTATGTGAAATTCTTTGGAGGAAGGTAGTATAATGAGTTTTATCATCTTCCATATATATATATATTCCAAATATATATATATTTATCTAGATCAGGGGTGTCAGGTTCATTTTCACTGGGGGCCACATCAGCCTTGTGGTTGCCTTCAAAGAGCCGAATGTAATTTTAGGACTGTGTAAATGTAACTACTCCTTAACAGTTAAGCAAAAGCTCAACACTGCCTCTGGGTAGAAGTAAGGTGACAGGCTGGATGAAACAAGGTGGAGGGCCAGATTTGGCCTGTGGGCCTTGTGTTTGCCACCTGTGATCTCAATAGTACATCTATATAGATAGATATACTATATCTAGATAAATACATAGAATATTTTTCAACCTATCACACAAAGATAAGCCAATGATTTGTTTTACTCTGTTTCTTTTTGTCTTTTTACATTAGCTTTGAAAGTGACTTTATTTTCAAAGCTCTAAATTAATGTGTAGTGGTAGCACTTAGTTTAAAAGTGTCATTTAATATGACTATTCTTTAATATATTTTTTTCACAGTAATTAAATGATGAAGTACATAGCCAGAATGATTCCTGATGTGAAAAACTTGCACTACAATGATATCATTCACAATCTGATTTATCCAAGAAAACTAACAGCATAATGGATATAACATCATTAACCTTGAAACCAAGACCTATAATTAGCCAAAGTTGACAAGAACAAAGGTCACCATCTGAAGGTTATCCTGAATATCTTGATCTAATTTCTAAAGGAAAAACTACTTCTTTTGATACCCACTAAGTGATCACAAAGTAAAAATTGTAAGCTTGCACTAAATCAGTTCATGCATCTGTCAAGTTCTTTTGTTCTATGATAGGTAAATGACAAAGAAATGAAATATTGGATTACTCTTACTGATACCAACGTGGTGCCTGGCTCACAAAAATTTGCAGGCTAATACACTAGTTGTCGTGCTTTATCAATTCTAACCAGGTTGACCAATGTGGTGAAAATGGATAAAATGTGCCATTCCTTCATTCATTTTAGGTTTTTAAAAAATTTTTCAACTAGGTGTGTTCTCTGCAAACCTGGAACCTTTAGTTTTCCCACCTGAGTAAGTTAAACATAATTTCTGGTCACAGAAAAGCAATTAATCAAATCATCTGAAGGAATTTTAGGTAGAGATGCAGCCTTCAATTTATACTATTCCAGTAAAAGATAGGAAAATAAGTAAGTACAAATATAATTTGAGAATTTTTCATGTGGGTTTGTAAGATAATATAAAGCAATATTAAAATTTAAATACCTAATATGAAGTTCACGAAAGAAATGGCACTCTTGTTTATATTTGAGACACATGGTCATAAACTAAAGGGGGGGTAACGGTGGGGATGGGGGTAGGGTGGAGGGGAATGAAGGGGGGAATAGAACAACTGTAATGGCATAATCAATAAAAAATGAATTATAAAAATATATAAATATAAATAATAAAGATAGAAAGGAATGGGGGAGAAAGAAAAAATGGAGGGAGGGAGGAAGCGAGGGAGAAAAACTGTATGGAAACAGCAACTGTTAATGGAGTGACTTGGCATAAAACATTTTATAGAGATGGTAATTGATAAATAAGAAGTATGCCTTAGTTGCATACTTATTTTATAATGTTTTGATAGTACTTCTTTTATTAGTCTTATCTTCAATTATTGGTCCAATTTTAAATGTGCATAATCCTTCGGTACAGCTTGCATTTATATTTAGAGTATCTATATATAAAATATTATGTTATTTACTAAAATTAAAGCTTTCGATGTAACTATAAAGTAATGTCTTCTAAAATGAACTAAAATATAAATTACATGTTTAAAGTTTTAAAATGTAATGTTTATGGCAGTAAATATAATAGGATAAAATATTCATAAACACTGTCAGACAGGAGTATTGAGTTTATTCCTGAAGTAAAATTAAAAACAAAAATTAAATTCCATTTTCCCAAATAATGAAAACAAATTCTCAGGTTTAATATCAATATAATTTTAATATTTCATTTTTGATATTAGGCACTTAAATATTCAAATTACCTTAGAGTACTTAAAAGATCTTCCCACAGTACGCCTTCTGCTCGGAAATTTTGTCACATTTTACCATTAAAGTACTATGTGGGGGGAGTAATTATTTTAGTAGTCTAAATTTATATAAGATTTCAAAAATGTTTTTCCTAAGAAACTACAAAATCCAAACACTTGAATTTTAAAATATTTTCTTATAACTACTACGCTTGATCATATCAGAAGTTAGCTTGAGGATATTATACTCCATCAAATTGATGACATATTGGTAAGGTAGGAGGAATAAACAAATAGAGAAAATTGAATCTGATGTATGAAAATTTATTCAACTGAACAATCTATGTTTGCATATTTTAGTTTAACATTTAAAAAATATTTTTTTCTTTTCTTGAAAAGTCCAGTTTGTGAGCTACTGTATACATAATTATAGTGCTATTTAAGCACATACGACTTCTTTCATTTTTAAAGTAAAAATAATACCTTAAATGTGATTTTCAGTGGGTGTGCTGCAGCAGGCACACTCGTGTGCCATAAGAATTTTTAAATGGGTGGTACTTGACTACAAAGTCAAGGGCAGGGACCTCTTTTCCCTTAGATTCTCACATTAAAAAAATGACAACAGCCAACACAATAGCTATCCAATGTGAATAAATAAAAATTATAGATATTTTTTGTCAGATTGGCAAAATACATATTTTTGGGTGTGCTGCAGAATTTTAGCAATGAGTTTATGTTGGCCATGAGATGATAAAGCTTGAAAATCACTGCCTTAGAACCGTTGAAGTAGATATTTATTGCTTGTTTTGACAGATTGTTCATCTGAATTTAACAATCTTTATGGAAATTGCTCAAAAAGAGCATGCCATGTTATTGTATCTACTGTGTCTGGCACAATAAATACTTGTTGGATGAATGAGTAATTTACTGTTTTAAACAGGGATATTTTTCTACATACCTAAAACATATATAACTTTAAAATAATTGTATTATTAATATTTTACCATATGTTTTTATCCTTTTTAAAGTGTTCTCAGATAGTCTTGTCAACAGATCACTATTACCTGAGGAAATGATTTCTAGTGCTTCCTTTTCATATGTTGTCTTAGCTCCATACCATGTGATTTAGGATGACAATTTAAAGTCCAGAACGGTGCATTTCCAAAACATTTTCTTCTAAAATGAGTGCATAAAAAAGGTTTCTCATACTTTAGTAATCTAGTCTAACCATATGTTTATATTTTTGTAAAGAGGTAATGAAGATAACTATATTAGAAATGATCATATAAATTCATCAATAAACTAAATGGTAGGTTGATGGCATAAACATTAACACAAATCTATACAATTTAGTTATATATTATCTAGATGAAACTTCAAACTTAAGAGAGTAAGGAAGATATATTTATCTATCAAAACCATTCCTGACTTTCATCTGCTTATACAAATTGGGTCTACTGTGCCCTCTAATTTTTATCTCAACTGCAAATACTAGGTTTTGCCTCATTTCTCAGGTCTGGAATTACTGATGCTAACAATAGCTGGCATTTGTTTAGCTGTGTGTATAAATGATCTTTTAATTCTATGATGTAGGTGCTATTTTATCCCTATTTTACACATGATGAAATGGGAAATACAGAAAGTTTAAATAATCTGCCTCAGGTCAGCTAGCATATGACAGGCCTTGACACCAGGCAGTCTGCTTAATTAGTACTTTCAATACTACATTTGATTCCCTTACTTAGGGCAGGTGTCCTCGCTTGCTCTTGCAAGTTCTCAGGTGCTGGAAATTCTGCTTCTGTCTACACCTGAGTAAACCTCACAGGCTCCTGAGCAAGTGTTCCATTTGCCCCTACTTGACTGCTGGCTTATTGCCTGTTGTGTATGGACATGAGGATTTAGATGCTTTGCCCAATGAAATATATTCCTGTTATTTATCACTACACCTTACATCTCCCTGCCTGTTTTTTTTTGCCCCCAGACTCTCTTTATATCCTGACTTTCTCTTATGCTTGCTGAATCCTTCAAGATTTATTAAAGAAGGTCAGTTAAAGAACTTCTACAATAATGTGGCATGAGATACTGAATTACAATGGGAGACAGAAAGGAAAACAGAAATATTTTGTAGTTAAAACTCAACAAATCTCAGTATCATATCAGATGCAATGTCCAACTTTAGAATGGATTAAATGGAGATTCCAAAATTACGAGCCTCATACTTACCTGGCAGGAGAGATACCATATTCATGAAGGTGGTTTTCCCAGGGTGAGACTTATCCACTGCACTCTGGATGTGCTTGACTCCTGCGATTTCCCCAAATGTGGAAAACTTGACTGTGATTTGTGGTATTCAGAGACTGTTTGAGCTCTCCTCTGCTCCCCCCCCCAAAAAAAAATTATGAGCCTTAGTTACTGGGAGGATGGATGTGTCATACAGAGAAAATGCACACTGAGAAGAGTTATAGATAAGAAGAATTGCAATTTTGTCTATAGGCAAAGAAGAAACACACAGAGATATATCTTGATATCACCATATCCACATGTTTGTTTGATCATTACTCATGATACCATATTTTTTTACTTTTAAAATATCTCATACTGAGATATAGTAGCTCAGTAAGTCTCAGTACTATGTAATAGGTGGTTAGCTCTTTGTTCTTTCTCTTCCTGTTATTTACTTCCAATGCCCTCTAGTTTCTTCTTTCACTAAAATTTTAGTGTCACTTATTGGAGCAAGTGAATCTTGTGTCTGATTATTTAGATGTCTTACTCCTCTCTACCTAAGATATCTTCTCTAAACAGATGATCATTTTCTTACTTAATTTTTTCTGCACTCCCCTCATCTCCAAAATAAATTTTGTATATTTGTTCAAGCCATTTACTCATACTTTTACTTCCTAATGTAATTCACAAAGAACATTTAAAGCCAAATTCACTTTTACCTTCTTTAATAACATTCGTGGTTTGATTTGTACAAAATTACACTGGAGTACACGTTTACTTTTTATGCTAAAGTCTCTTGTGATTTTGTTTTATTTATTCATTAAGGCATCAAAAAGTGCAGCCTGTTTTATTTTTACAGGGTTCATATTAATTACTATACTTTCAACACCCAATATATACATGTTCTATGAAAAATATAAAATTCTTCGTTCAGTCCTTCCTTTCCAGTGTTTATATGGAATGAAAAGAGGGGGAATGGCTACAAATGGCAACGATATTAACAATAGTGATCTATGACCATATTAGACAAGGTGGGATTTTGATGAGTATGTGTTAGAAAGGCTGAAGGACTAGAGAGTCTATTGGATTTGTGGAAAAGAAAAAGAGCCAAAGCAAAACTGTGATGAGTCTTCACATTTCCACTACACCTTGGCACAGCCGCTTGCACCACAAGGTAACATGACCTGGTCTGTGTCGATACAGAAGGGATGCATACCCCTCCCACAGAAGGCAGCGCAATGGGCATTGCAACAAGGGGGAGTTTATGATCTTTTTCAGAGAATATTGTGAATGATAGCAGATAGTGATAAAATATACCACAGTATGCATGATAATAAAGTGATAAGATTTGTTTTCCTGTTCCAAACAAAACCAGTCACAATAATGTGTTGTTACTGTATATAAGTTCGGGTCTATGCAAATCATAAAGATTATATACCTAGTGTATAATACTAATGGGTATTTAATATATTATATACAGTTCTGGTTACTAATATGTTGATCTCTGACTTGAGAATCTCACACTATAGCTACTCATCTCAAAGAAATGCTCTTATGAATATATATGTAAATTTTGCATTATAATTTCAGGGGGTTCTGGAATTTCTAAATGTCCCCTATGGACCACTTAGCACTCAACTGACTTCCAAGACAAGAACTCTGTTATGTCTTTTCAGTTTGCTTTTGTCTTTTTCACACCATTAGCAACCCCATTTCTTGAACAGCCACAGTTTCAACCTGTAATCTTCTTAACCCAATATGATTTGTCTTCTGTAATTATCACTTTGGGGAAACTTCCTTTGCTAAATATTCTAGAAATATCTTGTTGCTAAATCCATGGGATGCTTTCCAGTTTTTATCTTGCTTGATTTTTTCAGGAATATCCTATAGTGGTTACCCACCCTACCAATTCTTGCAATGTTTATTCTCTTTATTGGCATGTATCTGTGACAGGCCCTCCAAATTTCCTTCCCTTGTCTGCCTATTTCTTGCTAGAACCATGCCTTAAATGCTAGTGTTCACCGAGGTTCTGTAACCCCACACTCATTGTCAGTGATCCCTCACGTATCCTGGGAGTTATGTTCCAGAGACCCCCCAGAGTTATGTTCCACTGACAGGTGAAAATCCTTGAAGTAGCGGCGTTATACTTATTTTATTGTTCATATATATTTTAAAGCTTTATAAACCCTTCCCACACTCCTATAAACCCTTCCCACTCTCTTATTAACCTTTCCCACACTCTTATAAACACTTCATATGCTCTTAAACACTTTTTACACTCTTAAACCTACATAATTTTAACAACATAAAATTCTATATGGGTACTCACTAGTGAAGTATACTACAACTTGAATGATGAAGATCATGAAGTATGTAGCTGTGCAGTACTGATGGCGATGAAGGTGATGACGATGAGGTGAATGTACTGCACAGCCAAGAAGAGCATTTCAGCTCTTCTGAAGGCACCACTTCATCAGGCACTTCACCAGGTGGTGCAGTATCTTCGCCCTGGGCTGTAACTTCTATTTCTGCTAAAGGCATAGACGTAACTGATCTCTTCATCAGAGTGATGAACATAGTTATGGGGAGTTGCTGGCAATGATTTTTTCCAGAGAGGCAGCTTCTCCATGCAGAGAAACACTCTTGAGTCCAAGGTGTCTCTGAAAGTTGTCAAACCAGCCCTTGCTGGCACTGAACGGGGTTGGTCTGGTGGGAGAAGCACTCGACGGTCCTGCTCCTGCATTGTCATCCTTGTCTTCATCCTCGTCACCTTTGTGAACATCCGTGCTTTCCCCAAAACTATCATAAACTTTCTTGGTCTTCGTCCAGATGGTGTTGGTATCTAGAGAGATATTCTTCTCCCTGCAGTCATTTATGCACAGGGCCAAGGCAGACTCCATCCTCACAATGGCCTTATTGTGGGAAGTGACCACCCTCTTTGCAGTCTTGTTAAAAGTCATTGTTGCTGTAGACCTAATATTCTTCTCATCTTTCTCTATGCAGCAAACAGTAGATTTGTTGATCCTGTAATGTGCGGCCTACAGCAGAGTAGCTTTTGCCTTCCTTTAACAAGTTGAGAAGTTCCACCTTTTCTTTGATGGTAAGCATATTTCTCTGGTGCTTGGGTTCACTGCCAGAAGCCTTAGAAGGGGCAGAACATTTGGGTGGCATCACAGGGCTTGAAATAAATTCAAACTTTTATGAAAATTTCACAAAAACCCAACACTGCAGAGCAACACTACACCCAACAGTCAGATGTCAATGTGAAGTGGAGAGGAGAGATGCTGAGCAGGTGGACACGGTACAGAACAAACAGACCGCTGCTATGGTCACTGAGCCAATCAGCACCCAGGACACAAAACACAGTGCTGTGGTTGGTCGCCTTTCATTCTGTCAGCCAATAGTGTGCTGTGTACAATATCACGTTGGTAAACTTGCGCAAGCAATACTGGCGTAATGCTTTTCCATGGTGTATAGTACGGTCTTCATTTATTCAAACACAGATAAAATACATACTGTGTTTTATTTTGATTTAATAGTCTTTTAATATGTTTGAATTAATAATTTTATATTATTTTGAAATTTTTAGGGAAAAATAATTAAACTCATAAATATTATATAAATACCTATATACTGCAAAATCCCACAATATAGCAAAAACTCCATGATACAGAATTATATACATATATATATGTTTTTTAAACCTGCAATACAGGGAAGCTACAATAAATTAACCACAATATAGTGAGGGATGACTGTAGTTCTATGGTTTCAAATGCAATGATAATATACAAATATTTATCTTCAGTCCAGATTTCTCATTGGATAAATTAACAGCATCAACTCCTTTTGAATACCTCTAAGTGGATGGCTCACAGTCAGATGATAATATTCAACATGACCAAACAAACTCATTTTGTTTGAACCTAAACATAATCCTGCCTGTTTCATACCCCATCAAAGTGTGGTTCAGTCTTCATATCTTACTTTTAACTTTCTTATCTCCCAACGTTTATCTTTTCCAAAATATATTCTACCTTTTTTTAATTTTAAAGTTTCCTAGGCTTCCTATTACCCTCAGGATACATTTTAAGCTCTTAAAGAAGGTTTACATCCTTCATGTCTTTCTTAGATTTTCATTCTCTTCTTTCATTCTAAGTCTCTCTCACCTACATGCTGTAGCCAAATTGGCACCATCCAGGGTCCTTATGAAGGCTACAGTTTATCTGCCCCTGGTTACTTGCTGTTGCTGTTACACTTTGACACCCTTCATTCCCAGATTTACTTAGTAAACCCTTCTCATCCTCAGCTCTAATTTCCCATCAATAGTTTCAGTGGTTCTTGTCTGTGCTTCAATATCACCTTCATTATATCTCATCACATTGTGTGACTCCTGACCCCCTACACAGCTGATTTCTAGATGATTCATGGACATCTAGAATTATAAGTAAAGACCGTATTTGCAAATATATAAATTGTAAAATAAATTTCAATACCCAAAGACCAGTTTTATAACTCCAAAACTCTATAATTGCTGGGGAAAGTAGATGAAAAGAAAATAAAACACAGATGTATACTATAACAATTGTTAACTAACTATGGTCAAATGTTTGCCATAATAAATTTAATTACGTAATATGCAGGTTTGCATACTTTCAAGATTAATCAAAGAATCATATTGAGCCTTTATCTCCAGCTTGCCAGGAATCCAGCTTCTGGTTCTTCTACACAAATCAAACCTGGACCTGGTTGCAGTTTGACACCATTTGGTGATAGTCATCTGTCACAAAATGTCTATGAGACTGTTTTAGTTTCTGTGGCTGAATGGGAATTCAAAGATTCCAGGGAACATCCCGTTGGCTGGCACCTGGTTGGTTAGTATCAGGTTTTTGTTGTTTATTTGCTGTGTTTTCTATACAGTTCATGGAGATAACACTGGGAAGATATTTGAAGTTATAAAAAAAGTCAGTTTACTTCTTCACTTTTCAAGATAAAGTATCATATGGAACATCACCTTGATACTCTGGTGGCCTCCAAATATATTGTCAGCAAGGTATATCAGAGGTCATGAAATAAGGAAGCTCACAGAACAAATTAAAATACTCAAATTACACATTTTATTGTTTATTTGAAACACATAGAAGCAAGAGAAAA